CCCTATGACAGCTGGGATAGGCTCCAGCGCCCCCCGCGACCCTGAAAAGGATAAGCGGAAGCGAATGGATGGATGGATGGAAACAACTTTTATTGTATTTCTTTCCCTTTTTTCTCCAGGAGAGGACTTTGTGGACAAACACAGATCCCAGCTGATCCAGAGAGTGAGCAACATCGCACCTATTTTGGATGAGCTCCTAGACAAGAAGGTTATCGACCAAGAACAATATGACAAAATTAGAGCTCTGCCTACCTCTCAGGACAAGATGAGGGAGCTCTACAGTGGTCCCCTGAAAGCCAGTGCAGCCTGCAAAAAGATCTTCTATGAAAGCCTTTTGGCAAATGAGATATTTCTCATTGAAGACCTTTCAAAGGAAAGGAGTCCCGCAAGGGACAATGGAGAAAAAAATAATAAAGCTCAAGTTTTGCAAGATCTAAAAAAAAGTCTAGCAAAACTTTTGGAAGATTTTTTTCAAGATCTCTTAGATGTTTTCAAAGCTCTCTCAAATGGCCTCTTAAAACTTTTCACAAATCTTTTGCAAAATCTTGCAAAAGTTTTTGAAAGTCTTGCAGCGTACGTTGTTTTCCCCAGCTGTAGTGGGCTTTGACCTCTGGTTAGCTTTGAGATTGCAGGCAACAGTTTGAGATTGTAGGTAACAGACGTCTCCAAAAATATCCATAGTGTTTCCATTATACAGGAAACACTATCGATATTTGACATTTTTATATTAAAAATGTACATGTGTATCAGTTAAAAGTGAATCAGTGATGTCATCAGCCATGTTTTTATCCATTAATTATCCAAACTTTAATAAATGTGTTTTAAAGTTTCATCATCTTTTTGTAATTTGAAACATAATGCAAAAAATGTATTGTCCTTAAAAATAAACCAAAATCAAACTTTTTTTTTCTTGTTCTAAAAATTTGTTTTGGTGATTAAGTAAAGGTGTTTTATTATTTTACCTTTGAAGTAAAATCTTGGTTTTGATCAAAATATTTATTGAATTAATAATGCATTATGTACATTATGGTGTAACGGTGAGGTAGAAGATCAGAATATTTATTCAGAAATAAATATAGTGACATAAATCAAAAGTAATCTACATAACTTAACCTAAAGTGGCTAAAATGAAATACTGATGATTCAGAATCATAACATGATGTTACTGGCCTTAATTACTGTGCAGTGACAGTGTGATGTGTGCAGCTGATTTGAATTTGTTAAATACTGTTAGGTGACTGTATTTTTATTCAAACTGTACATATTTTTTAATTTGCATTTTTAAAATGTAACAACCCTCAGGACTCTCCTCTGGCATCAAGTAAAATATCAGATTTTAAATTCTAGTGTATTGAGTATTGCACTGTGCCTGTTTGCAGTAAAATGTGTGTGAATGATGAGCTGATAATACACCTACCTGAGCTTCCCAAAACAAGATATCAAACACGGTTTAGAAATTAAACATGACTCTATTTTTCCTCAGTTTTCCTCCCTCTTCTTTGAACCTGTTTTCTAGTTGTTTGTTTTTTTTAAAAACCTTTTCTTGAACCTTTGAACCTGTTTTCAAGCTTTTCTAGAAGAAAAGTCTTTTATTATATCAGTGCAAGAAATATGATGACCACTCAGTGTCTCCTGTGTGTAAGACTGCTTTCTTCCATTTGCACAACATCTCTAAAGTTAGAAATATCCTGTCTCAGAG